TTTATTCTTCTTTTTCTTTTTCTCTTTAATTATTAAAGTGCTTATCAATTTTCCTTTTGAATTCAAATAATTTATTCTTACCTTATGATTGCAATTATTCTTTAAAATATAATAAAATGATTTGTCATGTAGGACAGGTGTAACGTGGATTTCACCTTAACTTCTAAAATAACTATAAAAAAATTTTTTAATTTTTTTCCCATAGTTTTTTTAATCTTATAGTTGTAATTCGAAATCATTCATGAAATAATGAAAAGTGGAATAATTTGAATTCAATTTCCCAGCTATGGATAACATAATAAGATACGATAAATGCAATACAATTTCATATAAAACTCATAACAAAAAATACTAAAACTAAGCTCTTGATTTTATAAAATATCTTGTATAATATAATATAATACCAATTGATGTGGCAAAAAATAAATGGAAGAATGATTTTAAAAATGGTTGCTTATTGACTTTAAAAAGGGTTGCTTATTTACTACTTCAACATTGTCGGAAATACCGACACATGGTTTTATTCTTATTCCCTTCAGATTTCAGATATTGCTCTTTAGTATAAATCAAAGAATTGTGAATTTCTTTACCAATTCTGATTTATTCTTATCTTGCTTTTCCTTTTTTCTCTTTAATTATCAAATATTTATTCTTACCGTATGATTTCAATCATTCTTTGCTAACATAGAATAAAATGTTTTGACATGTAGGATATAGGTGTCAAATGGATTTCACTTATGACTTCTAAAATAACTAAAAAAGGCTTTTAATTTCTTTACCATATTTTTTTAATGGTATAGTTGCAATTCAAAATCATTCGTTAAATAATGGAACGAGGAATAATTTGACTTCAATTTCGCTTATCCAATCAAATAGTGCCCAACTCTAGATAATATAATAGGACATGATAAATGCAATACAATTTTATATAAAACTCACAACAAAAAATTAATAAAAATAAGCACTTGTTTTTTAGAAAATATCTAGTATAATATAATATGATACCAAGCATCTTATAAAAATTATGATTTGAGATCAAGATACTCTCTTGATCTGAGATCACCTGAGCTTTTAAGGATCTTATGACATTTATGTAATTTTATTTATTATGGTTTAGAGTTTTTTGTTTAGTATATTCATATTTCATAACTACCAATTACAAGTTTTTGAAAGCTAACCAATGAGTTCAGATCAAAAGAGAATCTTAGTCAGATTGGATTAACAAAGAAACCTCTGAGCAGTGAGATATAATATATAAGATATAGTACCCATCCTTTATGACTATTAAAACAAGTTTTATTTATTTATTTATGACTTAACTGTATATTTGTGTGTAATTGATCTGTGTATTTTTTAAGGGAAATTCATAAATTAGGAAAAAATAAAAGGTTATATATATATATAAAGGGTTTAGGGTTTAGAGTTTAGGGAGAGTTGTTTAATTATATATATACATAATTAAACAACTCTCCCAACCCTATACCCATACAACCAATTTATTCAATTAAATACCAAACTGCCCTCATCCCAACCACCAGCACTTCAAAGCAAAAAATCACATTTCTTAAGCTTGATTAAGCTTAACTTGCTAAACTAATTACCGTTAGTATTTTCTGTTAATCTTAACAGTTATGTCAACAGAAGCTGACAGACTATCATTTAACTACTTAAGTATTTATATAAACTGGACTTGACTTCTTGATTTAGCTTGATAATGTACAGAACCAAGACAAGGTAGAGACACCTGTTCATTTCTTCTCATTATCACCTATGATTCAAACTATAATTTTGAGCCAAATCAAACAACTTTTACTAAGAATTTCCATCTAAAAATAATTTAGTTATTATAAGTATACAAATATTATTTTATAAATTTCATCATATCGTTTTATATTTATATTTATTAAAAAGTTTTGCTTTAAAATTAAATCATGCCACAATTTCGTTGGAAGTCGTTTGATTTCCAACATGGTAATAAAAGAAATAGAGAATATAAAAATATATTTGTTCCTTGAAATATACTTATAAGCAGAAAAGAAGAATTGTCTATATTCTTGCCTTCTAACTTTTATCTTTCCGTACTAAAGTTTCCCATACACTTATTGAATTCGGTTCTTCATACCAATATTAAGTTTTTCTAAAGATTTTAAGAATACTATTCTTTTCTTCATTAAACTCAACTGGGAAAAAGTTTTGAAAGATTCCTAAAGATTTTTTCTTCATACCAATACAATTGCTTAATTTCTTTACTCAATCTGCTTGTTCACTCTTGTTTCAGAATTTTTTCCCCTTTACAGTTGTTTATGCTTAGTCTTATCCATTTCCCATTTTAGTCTTTTATATGTTTTCTTATGATTTCACCTTTTGTTTTTAAACCCAACCCGATCAAGTAGCGCCCAACTATGATATATACAAAACAGTTTTATATAAAACTAACAACAAAAAATAAATAAAAATAAGCACTTGATTTTTAGAAAATATCCAGTATAACATAATATGATACCAAGCATCTTATATAATTATGATTTGAGATCAAGATCATCTCTTAACCTGAGATGACCTAAGCTTTTAAGGATCTCATGACATTTATGTGTTTTTATTTATTTAGGGTTTAGGGTTTTTTGTCTAGTATATTCATATTTTGTAACTACCAATTACAAGCTTTTGAAAGCTTAGAGATGAGCTCAGATCAAGAGAGGATCTTGGTCCGATTGGAATAACAAAGAAACTTCCAAATCGGTTGAGTGATGATATAATATATAAGATACGTACCCATCCTTTATAATAATAGTTTCCTCCTCCAAAACCTAGAATCTAATCAAGCCAATAATGGATTGTGTTACCAATAACATGAGTGAGGGTGCAGCATCAAGAGAGATGTCACACATCGTTTATTTTAACCAAAAAAAAAATGTGGATTTATTCAAGGCTGCAGAAAGGGTAACATTGAACCCTTTAAGGAATTACTAAAAGCACCAATAATTAATCCATTTTTTTTAATTTATATATACTTTTTAAAACGTGATTAAAAAGTTAAAACTATTTGTAAAAGGTAAAGATAAATTTAATCAAATGAAAAATATTTTTATTTATTGGCACGTTATAAATTATAATACAACTAATTACATGATTAATAAAATATCAAAATAAATTATTTAATAATGTAGATGATGGCGTGTATTTATAGGTTGATTTCAGTTCCTCTTCTTCTAATATCAACAACACTAAAAAGTCTATATCACCCATATCGACTTCTACTATCCACATAATTATAATTTCAGTTCCTCTCAACATTTCCTATATATGGATCCTAAATTGTTCGACGCTGCAGCTGAGGGTAATATTGAACCTTTCAAGGAGTTGAGAGCGCCACATGTTGAGCTTCAGCAGATTGTCACACAAATTCTCAAGGATACAATCTTGCATATCAACATCAAATCCCAAAAGGTATCATCAGAATTCGTGACACAAATACTTGAAATGTGTCCATCACTATTACTGCAAGTCAATGCGGAAGGTGATGCTCCACTTCATGTTGCGGCTAAATGCGGCCATTCTACTATAGTGCAACTTCTTATTCAACGCGCGAAAACTGAAGAGGAAGAGATAGATTTAGAGAGTGGGCGGGAAATGCTGAAGATGACCAATTATGAAAACAACACTGCATTGCATGAGGCTGCGCGACAAGGTAGCGACGATGTGGTAAAAATATTAACAGAGGAAGGAGACCCCGATTTTCATTATTCGGCTAATAAGTTGGGGGAAACTCCACTCTATCTTGCTGCCGCCAGAGGATATAACAGAATAGTGACACAAATATTAGAAAGTTGCACAACAGCAGCCCATGAAGGACCCAATGGAAAAACGGCTTTGCATGAGGCAGCCATCAGGTGTCAGCCACGTAAGTTGATTTAAGTTTAAATTTTCCAATTTTTATCCCAATAATTACTATTTTAATTAAAATTTTATCCTTTATAAAAATATTAAACAAGACATAAAAGCTAATTGCTATTTAGTTTGATAATGTTTGTCTTCTTTACATTTTAGTATAAAATCTTTTTGTTTTTAATTTTTAGATTTCATCTTATTTGACACTACAACAAATACTAGTTTTTGTTAAAAAAAATAAAAAGTAAAAAGTAAAACTAGTATTTGCATTTGGCATTTGGTAATCGTCGAGTGTTGTCCATGTAAGTTGGTTAAGTTCAAACACTAGAAAATTCTATAAAATGCATGATTTCATTGAGGAAAAAACATTATAACGGAATATAGAGTGATGTTATTTTTCCCCAATTTTTTCCCTAATTACTATATGTTTCTTTAATTACAATTTTATCCTTTATGAAAATTATTAAATAAGACATAAAAGATAATTGCTATTTAATTTGATTATGTTTGTCTTCTCTACATTTTTTAATTGTTGAGTTCATCTTATTTGATTATATTTTTAAAATGTAATATGTGGGAATTGAAAATATAAATAAAATGGCTATATTTGAAATAGGTGGGGTTCATACAAATATTTATAGTTTTATATATGTCTAAAATTTTAATGAGGTAAATTTAGATTGGGGTCTAATAGGATAAAAAATGGAGGCCAATAAAATCACTCTAATATTTAACTTTTTAATTCTTCCAATTAACCCAAATGAATATTTCACTTAAATTTTACAATTTAAATACAATTCTTATATTCTACAAGTATAAAAAAATATTAAGAAAAAAACATGTTTGATTGAAATTATTAGAAAAAGAAAATCAAATTCATATGGTTTAAAATAATTATTCTGGATACCGTGTGGTTAATTTATTATTTTGCTGTTTTAGATGCAGTAGAAAAGATGTTAGAGAAAAAGAAGAGCTTGACAAAAGTCACTGATCAACATGGATGGACTCCACTTCATTATGCTGCATATTATGATTGGCTTAGCTCTCCTGTGGTAGAATTGTTATTAAAATGTGATAGATCTACTGCCTACATTGGTGACAAAGATCGGAGGATGACACCACTTCATATGGCAGCTAGCCAAGGGCATCTAGCAGTAATTAAAAGTATTATTTCCAATTGTCCAGATTGTTACGAATTGGAGGATGATAGAGGTTGGAACGTTCTTCACTTTGCCGTGCTTAGTTTAAATAGAGAGAGGGTTTGAAACATCTTCTAGAGACTTCATTAATAAGGAGTCTTATAAATAAGAAAGATGCAAAAGGTAACACTCCGTGTCATATCGGGGCAGCTGCCCGTCGATATTTCGTGTCTGGATTGGGCGACAGGAAGGCTGTCAACAACCAAAATGTCAGTGTGTCAGACATAATAAAGTACGGCTACTCTGAGCTAGAGGTAAATTTAATATAGCCTCCTTAATTTAGTATTATAAAAGTAATTATAGATGGAACTAAGAAATTCATAAATTGGTTTATCTCAAAAAGAGGAATAGAATAAACTTTTGTGAACATTTCGCATAAACAAATTACAAGTTAATATCTCAAAAAAATTAGTATATATGATTAATGTATAAGAATGTATATATTCTAACGTATAATGATCAATGTTTACAGAAAGAAATTCAAGAATTGTCCAAAGATGTTGGCAAAGGAAATCAATATCCGAATGGTGTAATCCGCATTGGAAAAGAGGAAAAAATTGAGGATAGCCAAAAGCAAGATAAATCTGCAGAAGACGACAAGGAAACAAGAGCATCACATTTGGTAGTGGCTACACTCATAGCAACTGTAACCTTTGCTGCGGCTTTCACCTTTCCTGGTGGTTATAATAGTGAGAAAGGACAAAACCAAGGCACCGCAATTTTAGGTAGAAATTCAGCTTTTCAAGCGTTTATAATAACGGATACAATTGCCATGACCCTCTCCCTCTCTGCTGTTTTTATCCATCTTTTTTTGTCCTTTAAAGGTATCCATAAGTCGGAGGACCTGTTCCGTAGATTGTTGGGTATTGCCTTGATTCTCACCATGTTTGCCATGGGAGCAATGGTTATTGCATTTATTACAGGCACATATGCAGTGTTAGCACCTTCTTTAGGGCTGGCCATTACCACTTGTTTCATTGGCTTGATCTTCTTCCCTCTAGAGTTTTACGTACTAGGACTACTCTTAACAAAAGCCATAAATGACATGCTTGGTGGGCGGTTGTAGCAACCCAAAAGCCATAAATGACATAATGTATGATTGGTGGTTGTGGTCAAACTAGTTTATAAACTCTAAAATTAAATTGATCTGTTTGTTTATAACTTTTTTGAACTTATAAGTTGAGCTTATAAGCAAAAAAAAAAAAAAAATAAGTTGGGGGAAAGATACTTTTTTTTTTTGGCTTATAAACACTCTACTTATAAGTTAGGTTGATCAAGTATATTAACACATTATCCTTGTTTAATTTTAAAATTTCATAGTATACCCTTATTTAATGTAATACCCTTTTTAGTCATTTTATAATAAAATGTACTTATAAGCCACATTTTACCAAACACGTTAACTACTTATTAATCATTTATAAGTATTTTAACCAAACACGTAATTACTTAAAATTTCAAATGCTTATAACACTTATTGCTTATAAGCTAATTTTCATAAGCTCACAAACACTCCCTAATTTTCTACAAAGAAAAGAATAAGAAGAATAGAAGCAACAAGTCATGAGAGATGATCCACATCTCTGTCCTTCAATTCATTCACTACACAAGCCTTTAAGCTTTCTTCTTCTTTTCTTCTTTCTCACTTCTTCTTTAATCTCTCATGTCTCTTTCATTATTTTAAATCTTATTAATCTCAATTCTTGATTAAACTTTTACTTAGTTTCTTCTAAACAAGAACTGTTCAGCTCCTCTCCTATCTTTCTTCACAATCCCAGCAACCAATCCAAAAACAAATATTCTGTTTTTTAGATCGTGTTTTCATCTCCTTAACTCTATTCTTTCACCCTGTTTCTTTCTCTTTCTCTTCTTTTCTTCTTCTTCGCCCCTTAAATTCTCCCTCTCAAACACTCCCAATCCATCCCCGCCCTCTCCCTCTTCCGCAAAATTCTCTTCTGCATATAATATTTGTGCATAAAGTCATAAACTAACAACTCTCCATCACTGAATTTTTGGACATTGATTCATCTTAAACAAGTAATCAATAATACCCAAAGAAATCCTGCCTTCTTGTTTGCAACGAACTATTCAGCTGCACAGTTCTTACTTTGAATCAAAATAAAAATCTCTCTAAATTTGCTCATATTTCAAATATAAACAAACATTTAGATATATAACTGAACATAGATTCAAAGGTCGAAGCAAACGACCAATTCACAAACAATTTATGAATTCTTTCCCACCATACACAATCGGGATTCACAACTGCTTTATGAAACCTTTATTTATTAAAACTTTCAACTTACATTGGTCAATCGGCGGAGGCAGCAGCAGGCAGGTGAAGAATCGAAAATCGAAAATCTGAAGAATGGTCACCAAAATGTTAGCAAGACGCGATGATAACGGAGGTTGAAAATCGGAAATCAGGGAATCAGTGATCAATCGAGGAACCCCTGGTGATGTTTTCGATTTGTCGGTGAATCGACAGCTGCCGTTTGGCAGTCGACGGTAGTCGGTGACTCTCGGTGTAAGCATTGTACCACTCTGTCTCTCACTCGAAGTTGAAGGCGGCACACAGACACTTAGTTGAATACTTGAATGTTAGGGACCTAGGGTTTTACTCTTTAGGGATTTTACTATTTTACGTCTTTTGTTATAAACCGGTTTAAAAAAAGGGTTACGGTTAACTGATTTTTTTTAGGGGTTAACCGGTAAACAAACCAAAAAACCGGTTCACAGATTTTTTTTCAAACTGAAATCGACCCGATTTCAATAAAAAACCACTTTTTTGGTTCGGTTTCAATCTTGTTTTTTTATTCGGTTCGGTTTCCGACTTTTTCCACCCCTAGATCTAACAGAGACATTTTGTCACCAAAACTTTCTCCATCAAGTCTTAGTCAAACGCCACTTTTTTCATCTTTGATATATATATCATCAAGAGATGAACATTTTAATACTAACATTGTTATAAAAACTCATAAAATAAATTTTCAATCACCAGATTTCAACAGTCAATGGCTAATTTCAAGATTCCTAAAAGTTAACATTTGCGGAAAAGATGGATTGTATTCATTAGTGCTTGTGGGCATAGCTATTCAACATAATCATCGTATCAATCATGAGTATAAAATAAAGCACACAAGCATATTTACATGGTTCGGCCAACAGCCTATATATATCCATGGGACTTAGTCTAAACGAAGCAAATCTACTATAAAAAAACATTCAAGGTTCATTACAAAGTTGAAGTAAATCATAAACAAATGTAAAACTCTCCTTGTTTCACGACACTCTAACTCCGCCCTTTGGATGATCCAATGTTCTGCCACAGCTTGCTTGAATCCAAGAAACCTTTTGAATCGCTTAAGCTCCACTCAAGCTTTAATGTCGAAGTCACCCTTCAGCTCCACAACTTGAAATCCCTTCAAGCTTTCATCGATGGAACCGTGTTCCAACACACTCAAACAACCGAGATTAGATAAGAACTTTGAGCAACAATATCAACAACGGAACTTGACTTAAGATGAATAAAACCTCTAAGTATTTTCAAAGAACAACATAAGGAATATTTAGGTTCAAACGTAAATGCAAAGATGAAGAAAATTATAAAGAAACCTTGCGCAAGAAATCCTTAGACAACCAACCGATAAAGTCTTACTTTTCACCTACTTGCTAGTCTCACTTCTGAAAAGGCAAAACAAATTTCCAGGACCACATTTGAAATATTTGACACTTTTATTTAGCCCACTCACACATATTTTAGTCCTGGATAAAATCCTAACAACCAATAAAAATTCGACATTTGTACTAAGGTTTGACTAGACGACTGTTTACACATCTAACTTCTAATGTGCCCACATATTTTATGATAAAACTAGATTAAGGAAATGGCCACACATCAATGCAGAGTGTCATGACAAGTGTAAACTACATATATGATTGTGCTTAATTAAATAGATGTGCAAACATCATAAATGAATGTGCACACACAACTTCATAAGTTGACAAAAATACTTGCTATTTATAACCTATAATAATGTATATAATTAGTACTATAATCATATATAATATAATATATATATATATAAATATATTAAATGAAATTAATAATAATGTTAAACTATGTCAATTGATATAATGATAATTGAAATCGAATATTAATATATGAATATAATTATAACCTATAATTAGTTTAATAAATATTAGGATAAATTAGTAAAATAATCTATGGAAACTTGTATTTAGACATGATCAATTTGAAAAGCAAACAAATCTTATGTTTTAAAACATTTTAGATTGTTTAAGTTTCAACTGGAACCAAAATCGAATAAGTATATCCCTTTGATTCAATTTATCCCTTTTCATTTGAAATAAATACAAAAGTTTGAGGAATCTCTCAATTCTCTCATTTAGGTCCCTATTATTTACTTTACATTTCTTGAGTTATTATTAAAGAGCACCACTAAATTATAGGGGTGTTTGTCTGAGCTTATGAAAATTAGCTTATAAGCAACAAGTGCTTATAAGCATTTAAAATTTTAAGCAATTACGTATTTGGTTAAAGTACTTTATAAGTGACTGATAAGTAGTTGACGTCTTTGGTAAAATGTTGCTTATAAGTACATTTTATTATAAAATGACTAAAAATGATACTACATTAAACAAGGGTATACTATGAAATTTTAAAATTAAACAAGGATAATTTGGTAATATACTTGGTCAAACTAGCTTATAAGCAAAAAAAAAAAAGTACCCCCCCCCCAAAAAAAAACTTATTTGTTATTATTATTATTATTATTTTTATTTTTTTTGAATATAAGTTCAACTTATAAGCTCAAAAAAGTTATAAACAAACAGGTCAACTTAATTTTAGAGTTTATAAGCTAGTTTAACCAGCTTATAAGCTTAGACAAACACCCCCTATAACACGTTATCAACACAAAAAGTTCATCAAGTGTAATGGTGCACACGTGTTGAAAGATGGACTTTGAAACTGAGACATCAAATATCCAGTAATGGTGGAAACACTTGTATAGTAGACAGTGCAACAACAACACCATCCTTTGAGATAGAAAATATTTCTCAAGTTTGACCTTTATTGAAACTAAAATAGATACCATATCAGGATCTACAAACATTATTAAGGGCTCCGGAAGAGCAAAACTCATGTTACCAAGCATAATTAAATTAAGTATCCATGATGCTTTATATACTAACAAATCCAAAAAAAAAAAAAAAAAATTGCTTAGTTTCAAAGATATACAACTCAATGGATACTACATTGAAACTTTGAGTGAAAATGATGGAGAGTTTTTATGCATAACTGCTAATAGTTCATGCTAAAAGCATGTACTGGAGAAACTCCCTACTTTCTCATCAGTGTTATATTACACATTCCTGAAGAATGTTAAAGTCTATGCAGTTATGAACCAGAAGTTCACTGATCCTGAACTTTTTAAAATTTGGCACGACTGTCTTGGTCACTCAGGATCTACTATGATGTGTAGGATCATAGAAAACTCACGTGGCCACCCATTAAAGAACCTGAAGATTTTGTCACCTAATAAAAGTGCTTGTATTGCTTGCTCACAAGGCAAATTGGCACTTAAGCCATCCATCACTAAAGTTGGTGTAGAATCCCCATCATTTTTACAAAGAATTCAAGGGGACATATATGGACCTATTTATACACCAAGTGGTCATTTCCAACTTCAGAATCGACAATGGGAAAAGTAATGTTGTGTTGCCTCATGGAAGCTATTCTCTTTGAACACTATTTTAAATGTCTATTAAACTGGGTGGTGCTTCTGGTGGCATTAATACACAACTTAGCTTTGTAATGGATACACTCTGCCTTTCTTGTACCACCCGGGAGAACCACCTCCTTAAACTCTGTCCAAACCACTGATGTTTTAGCCCTTTTTTTTCTCTGAATTGGATTGCCATTTTGCCCACCATTATTTGGGCTACTAACACTGTGTTTCGTATTTGTAATGGTCTCATTCAAGGTACACTTATTGCCCGGTGTAATTTTAACTGTAGGGTTACCTGAGGTACTGCCATCCATTTTCAAACCTATAATACAAAACAAAAACAAAGGTGTTAGCTTTTCTTATTGATATTTAATGGAACACCCCTGATGAAATCAAACAAATCTAGCAATAAAAAGTCCAAAAAAACAAGATATGGTCACCACAAATCTAGAATTAATTCAGAAATAAATAAGAATATGTGGAGATACAGTTGAATCAAAGAATGCCACTAGATGGAATGTTGCATGGAAATATGTGGAGTGCCCCCTGAAAAATTCAGAACTATATGTTCAAGTATTGACAGGCTAGAAACACAATCTTTTAAGACAAAATAATTGGAACCAAACTTCTCAGTTAGTCAGTCAGACCACATGCTTTGTCCCACACTTTTCATCGGTCCAAAATTAGTGGGGTTTAAATAACACCACTCTTAAATAATTGGAACCAAATGTCTCGAGCTGAGCCTCTGAAGAGCCTTAATTGAGTCGAATCATGCCGGCTTGCTAGCTTCTCGATTCGTTTAACAGTCCTAGGCTTACTTAAACAAATTAGTGGGGTTTAAATAACACCACTCTTAATCCTAATCATTTTATATATACTTGAGAAAATTTTCATTTTCAAAATTTTACTAAAATTTTCATTTTATGTAATAATGGTGCATTGATAATTAACGTAAATAGTAAATGATCGCCTATAATTGGTTTACCTTTCAAGGAAAAAAGGTGTCACCTACTTAAGAATTGGAGCTTGTTTTCTAATTGCTACTTTTTCCATCTATTCAAATTAATTAAAAAAAAAATCATATCAGCATTATTCCAATTTTTTGTAATGAATTATATAGTTATTTATAGAGTAAACGACTTTTTCCCACCCAAGGTTTGCCTTAAGTCAACTTACCTAGCCAAAAAGTTTTAAAATATCACTTTCAGCGAGTTATTAGAAGCTAGAATAAGAGGGATTTTGTAGAGTGGAGGCCGATAGATCAAAAGGTGGGGGCTGATTGAATATTCATCATTGAAATCAATCGAAAATCAGCTAAAAACAGGAATTCTAGTTTTGCGATCGCCGATTGTAGATGCAAAAAATCTACTATCATGAAAATAGGGTCTGATCTCGTGAGGTTGAGGCCACTGACAATCCGCTAGACCTACAAACATGAAAGGGCAAGCGTGAAGCTTCCGGAAAACACCGAGGTGGTGTTTGCCGTAGGCACTCCGACGCTTAAGTTAGCGAGGCTGAAAGAGATTATTTGATAAGAATTAAGGAGATGAAGAATTACCAGGAGTCTTGTCGGAAGCTAGGACTACGGCGGAGGTGTTGGGTTCTTCGGAGCAAGAACTTTAGGAGCAAATAGATGGTTTTGAGTAGTGTAGACTGACTATGGGAGATTACATCGTAATGAGAGGGCAAACCTATGTTTTTATAGTGAACCCAAGGGGCTGGAATCCTAGTAAGACATCGAGTCCTCTTTTTTGAGAGATAATCCCTATCAAGAAAGAAATATGATTTCTTGGCCTTATCAGATTAAGTTTAATAGTTTAATTAAGATTTGGAATCTTAGTAGGACACTAAGTCCTATTTTGGGAGATAATCTCTATCATGAAAGAGATACGATTTCTTGACCTTATCATATTAAGTATGATAGTTTGAGTAAGATTTAGAATCTTAGTAGAAGAGGAAATAGAATAGGATTCTAATTTCCTATTTATAGACTATTGCAGGCTAATGGGCTGAAACCTAGTTTATCTTAACTTATAGGATAGCCTAACTCATAAAGTGGGTAGTTCGCAAGGTGATTTTAAGCGTAGGCCCAATCAGGATTACGCTGAAACCTTAGGCCGTGGCATGTTTATTTTGTTATTAGGTCTCATCAAGCCCAAGATGATTTTTGGGCCTAACACTGATAATCAGCGAGAAATTAGGTGTCAGAGTGAGAGGGGTTTTGTAGAATAGAGATCGGAGATTCAAATAGTGGTGATAGAGAGAATTTTTTCACCATCGGAATTAGCTTTGGATTGTAACGAAATATTAACTTTGGGTGAAAAAGTGTCATTAAGGCAAACCTTAGGTGAAAAAAGTCATTTACTCTTATGTATAATACTACATACATAAACTTATCTATACAATCTGAGGTCTTTTAACGTAATTAAGTAATTTTGAAGTAGAAATAAACTTAATAATTAGGATAAATAATATGTCAAACATACCAAATTATTACATTAGTTTGTAGGAAATAATTTGTATAGGTAACATTGCCTATACCCGTAATATAATTATGATCAATGTCCATTTCTTAAATTGACCCACCGTCCAAACTTAAAGAAAGTTTACCCGATTTTCTAAAATTCCAAATCGTAACACTAATCATTGATGATTATCTCTTCATTTTTATATACACCTATCAACTACCTACGTTGGAGATTTATTCTTCCTTGTCTTTTTTGTTTTTATTACACATGTTAATTAGTTTTCCATATTTTTATTTTAGATATCGTATCTATCCATGTGATATGATAATGTGTATTTAAAATTTAATATTTAATAATCCCATATATAATATGATACGAGTTAGTGACATTTTTATTTTAAATAACGTATCTATCTATATGATATGTTGATGTGTACTTAATATTAAGATAATATCATATATTGGATAATAATAATTAATGACACTTTCATTTTAAATAACATCTCTATCGATGTGACATGTTAATGTGTATTTAATATTATGATAATATTATATAGTATGAGCTAATAACATTTTCATTTTAAAGGACGTGTCTATTTATGTGTCAGTATAGTCCTTGTCGTTTCTAAAATTGAAATGTCTACTATACCCCTATTTTTGTCTTATTTGGAAGAATAAATATAGAATAAATAATTAGGACTTTGGACATTAATATCAAAAAATTACAATGAAATTAAAAATAAATAGAATTTCTAAAAAAAAAAAAAAAAAATTTGCATAACTAAAATTAAAGATTTAAAATAAAAATCCCGACTTTTAAAAAGAAAACTAAAAAAATTCCCATGTCAAAATTTATTTTTATAATTTGATGTCCTTTTTTTATAATTTTATTTTCTAAATTTGTAAATTAATTTTTTTTTCTAATTTCATATTATTATTCTTTTAAAATTGTAAAATAAGAATTGTACCCTCATACAAACTTTTTTTTTTTTTTTTTTATCTGCAAAAATCTAATAGAGACTACTCTAAATAGCTACATTCCAAGACGTTAAAATTAATTTAATTTTTATTAGTAAAATTACATTTATAAAGAAATCTTACAAAATTTTACTATATCAATTTGTATGAAAATATTTGTAAGATTTCTTTATAAGTATAGTCCCCACTTCAACCTTTTTAATTAGAGTAGTGTTACACTTATATCACTTTTTTATATTATTTTTATTACATCATGATGTGATATATGCCATAATTACATAAATTCTATTATAATATTAAAAATTAAAAATAATTAAAAATGTGTGTGATTATAAAATATATCACATCAGGATATAATAAATATAATATAAGAGAGAGGTGTAAATGTAACCGTTACTCCTTTAATTATTAAAAGGAGAGGATCCCATTAGCTATTGTTTTTTCTCAATCTGTGTCTTCCCTTCCAATGGAAAAATGCTTACAGAATCCTTCCTCATCTTCATCTTCATCTTCTACCTCATTTGATGACCTTCCAAGAGAGAAATGGTGGGGACTCCAAGATACTCTCTATCAATGGGAAGGGTTCTGGTATATACTTCCTCACCTTAAAGCTGCTATTGCTGCGAGGTCCAACTTTGAGGCTCGTGATGATGATATTCTCCTAGCTTCCTCCATGAAGACAGGTACCACTTGGCTCAAGGCTCTTATACCATCCATCATCAACCATAATCCAGGAGGAGAAGAAGAACAAGAAGATCCTCTGCTCAGAAAACATCCCAATGAGCTCATGCCGTCATTTGAAGTACAACTTTTCAAAGAAAATCCAAATCCAGATCTTTCAGGTATGCTCTCTCCAAGACTATTTCGAACTCACATGCCATACACAATGCTCCCAGAGTCCGTAAAAAATTCTGGATGCAAAATTGTGTATATCACACGAGATCCTAAGGACACAATCGTGTCATTATGGCACTTTTCTAACAATAATTTACCGCCAGAACGGTACCCTGTAGCTGTAAGTGAAGCCTTTGAGAGCTTTTGCAAAGGTGTTCATTCCTACGGGCCTTTCCATGATCATGTTTTAGAGTATTGGAAGGAAAGTCAAAAGAGACCTGGGAAGATACTTTTCTTGAAATATGAAGAGATGAAGCAAGACACAAAAGGGCAAGTTCAAAAATTGGCTTCGTTCCTTGGAAAGCCTTTTGTTAACGAAGAAGATTTGGATAAAGTATTATGGAGGTGCAACCTGGATAGGCTCAAGAATTTAGAGGTTAACAAAACTGGAGTAGATCCTTGGCTTGGGATAATGTATAAATCATATTTCAGGCTTGGTTCGGTTGGTGACTGGAAGAATAGCTTATCACAGGAAATGAAAGAACGACTTGACGAAGTTACTCGCAAGAAGCTTGAAGGATCTGGTCTGGTTTTTGGAGCTTAATTCTTCAAATGAAAAATCATATGCATGTAGCATCGATCTTGCTGTAGAACTGATATCATTTCTTACTGTGATTTTGTTTCACAAATCCTTTTGATTTCTGATAGCATTAGTTTCTTCCCAATGATCTTGATGAAGTAAAATATGTAATTCACAAGAAAAGCAATTTATAAGAATATCTAATAAGTGATTTATATAAATACTGTTGCCAAAAATTCTAGTTAACCACGGATCCCAAACTTTAAACAATAGTGTCATAACCCAAGTTTATAAACAATTGCCAATATAGAAGGTAACTGTTGTTATGAAATCTCATAATAATTAGAGTTATCCAATTGATTTTGACGGATCGGATATGATAAGCACGTGATTACAGATAATCGGCAATGAAAAGGAAAACAGACAAAAATAAATGCACATGAACTTTTTAAAGTGGTTACGTTCATTGTTATCCTATTGCTGTTATTGTGATTACAAGAATAAGCTCTCGATCTAAAGTTACTAACCCTAAGTTTCCAACCCTTTATAATGATTTCTACAGGGTTTATATACAGTTAAAAAAGTGATATATTGAGATTATGACTTGATTTGGTGAAGTCAATCCCATGATTTTCATGTAAACATGGATTGATTGACGTCAATCTAGTGATTTTCTCCCTGATCTTAGGGGATAATGCCTTATTTTCTCATTGATTTTAGGACATAATACCTTATTTTAATAAAGCATGATAAGATTATAAACAATTGCCAATGTAAAGGGTAACAAACACAACAACCATATACAATCAACACAACCATATACGAATTTCACTATACTATATCTATAAGTCTCTACACTTAGATTCTCAATATCTCTGTAAAGACTTAGCAAAAACAAGGAGCAAAGCTTATATACAAATAAAACAAGAGAGAAACAATTTTACCCTTCACGAAAATAAAATAAATTGGATTAAGTTAGAGCCAATAGACAACAAATACAGCTGTTAACCTGTTAGTTGTTAAACCACTAATAGAATATATATCAAAGGACCCTGCAGCATATAAAGTGATTACAACTTTACTCGATGTACTCAAAATTTTACACTTGACAATGTCAGAAACTTAAAAAATTACAGCAAAATCACAGGGAGCTTATGGTGTGTACTTACTGATATATTTTGATAATATCAGTGATCACTTATTCAGACTTCAGAGCATTGATGTCAGTCTACTGTACACAACATACAGACAATAATATAATCTAGCTTATCAATAATCATGCATATATTGATTTTGCATATACTGTGATTAATATGCAGGTATATTATTTTAAAATTTTATTTCCTCTTTTTAGTATCCTTACCTCAGAACTTTTATATGTATTACACTGCATACAATTATGTAAATCCAATTAAATTACTCATCCATGGGTAGCGTAACAATAAAAGTGAACCAAGGGGATTGCAACTGGTCCAATCTATAGTCTCAGGTTCGATTCTTCATTAGGTGCAAAGGAAAGCCCATGATTTCCTAGAGAGTCGCGAGGGTGAGCTATTGTAGGATAATTCTTATTAAGGATTAGTCGAGGTATGCATAAATTAACCCAAACACCTCAGTTACTAAAAAAAATAATAATAATAAATAAAAAATCCAATTAATTTGTTAATAAGTACTATAGTGACACAGTATCATTAATTTTTATCTTTGAGAGTTTATCTGAGATTTAAAAAAAAAAAAAAAAAAAGCTGCAATTATCTTACACATCAATAACTTTATATATACTATTTTACGATTGATATATTTTAGAAAAGATGGGTGTGGCCTTGAGAGGCTAAAGGGTTGTGAGCTAAAGACATTCACATAAAGTCGGGCTGAGCTTAGTTCAAACACAAGCAAAATACTCTGCCCAGCCCAAGTCAGCCCATGCTCCCATGCAACATCTGGGCCGTTCTTTTGGGTCTTTCGCTGAGTGTAAAGACATTTTGCAGATTTTTCTATGAAGGGATCTCATTCCTTTAATTTCTATTCCTAAAAACTGCATACAAAATTGTTCAATAATAAATTTGTCACGAGCTTATGAAGGTAATAGTTTGATTATTTATTAGATAAAAATAGGGATTTAGACATATATAGTCAATTCAATAATCACAATTTCTCAAGATGTACAGGTTTTATTTAAAGTACAAATCTAACCATAAAATTCAATGACTTCTCATGCATATCCTTAATAAAACAATAAATGCTACACTACTAATATATTATGTTAGACTATGCTAGACTCGATAGTCTAGATCGAGTTTAGCATTTAACAATATAATTTTACAGTCTAATTAAAACATACTAGACCATGTTAGATGGTACTAGACTTGATAGCCTAATGCATTCGACTATTTTTGTCCTTACAATTTTTCATTAAGCATAATTAGGTTAAGTCATATGATTTTGTAGCTAATTGTATCTTTTAAGGAAACTCTTGATTGTTAATAGGGGTGGTCGCTAGAACTTTTACCGGATCGATAGTTTTAGGGTCTCAAAAAATTAGTTGAGACGTACATAAGCTGATCCAGACACTTTCGGTCAATAAAAAAAAAATAACTTAACATTTTGGGATTGAAATCACCTATATATGAGAATAATTTTATAGTAACAACATCGTCAATGAAATCATCATTTATAGGAAAGTTTTACCCAGATTCCAAAATTGTCACCGTCTATCTGATTCAAGCCACGTGATATTTCGGTCCCCTGAGGAGACAGTTATTAGAGATGGAGACGAAAGTATAAGAAAAGGTTAATATAAATAGATGCTTCTACACTCATCCGTGAATGTTAGACAATGACCTATGGTTTGTATGTTGTAACACCCGTGAACATAAATGTTGACTCTTCATTCTTCACATTACTATAATATTGCTAAAACATCAATTCTTCCAAAACATCTTTTACTTGCTTTCACATTAACACCATAAAAGCTTCAATACCTTTTTATTACAACTTTTATGATTCAAAACTTTAAACTTTGATTACCAATGCATGTGGTGACTTGTGTGACCAAAGATTCCAACTTAACAGCATCATTTTTTTTTCTTTTTTTATCACCGGGATTGTTTGGGCCAGTTTGTACGCACCTTAACTAATCTTCCAGAGCCTTAAACTGTCGATCAGGTAAGAACCTCAATGACCACTTCTATTAGTGGCTAGAGGCATTAAACTCAGAAGCACAAAAAATATTTTTTTGCCCTTTTACCATAAGACTAGCCAATGGTAGACCCGTGGTTAACTTTGCAGCATCAATGATCTAGAAAATTTTATTAAAGGTGTTGATTTTATTTTTCTTTTAGTATAAAACTATGAGTCAATGATTTTTCCCTCCCAAAACTTTCAAAATTCCACTTTCCCACCCAACGTTTATATTCCGACCAATCGCCAGCCGATTTTCGGCATACTTGCGACCCCACGTCATCACCATTCTTTTCCCTAATCATCACTTACCAAAACCCCTCAAACCTTGCTCTCGACAAACCCATCAATTGCCGATAATCAAGTGATTTGTGTAATGCACAACTGCCCCTCTTAAGTCAGATTCTGACCAATCCTAACCTCCAAAATCCAACCTGCTACTACCAAAAGATTCATTGACATTTACTCTTCAAAATCCTGAACAACCAGGACCAAGTTTTCTCTCTGTTAGCCACCAAATCGAAAAGTGTATTTTAAATAGTAAACGAAATATAAACTTTGGGTTGGAAAATGGTATTTTGAAACTTTTTGGGTGGGAAATAGTCCTTTACTCATAAAACTATTCGTAATTGCTGCATTCAATAAGACAAAGCATCAGTTCCCCAATCAGTTTCTGAAATATTTGGGTGACAAAAGGGATATATAGAATCAATGAATGATGTTATAAATTTTTACTTAATAGTGAGTTGTGGTTAAACTTGGGAAACAAACACATTGTGAAATTTACAGGGAGAAGTGAGTGGTGGAGTTTGAACACATGAAATTTGTGGCTGCTCTCGTGAACCAACAGGGACCCAACCATCTTCATTGCTAATTTTACACCAACAAAGGAACAAACTCAGTAAATGTAACCAACAAAACCAAACCAGCAATCCTCAGCTTCTATTTCTTCCTTTTGAGCTGTTTAGAATTTAAGTAAACCTGTATTCACGGCTCCTACTTAATTAACAGTTTCCATGAATAACTTTTAGACCGCCTTCTCCTCTCATAAATATAACCTGAGATAACTTTATTTTTCATATATTCCTTAAACATAGAACAAATTATGCAGCATATTTTGTCCTAGTATATGGAAAAAGCTTAGGCTATATCTATATAAAGCCACTCTTATTCTCACTCTTTCTCACATTCAAGTGCCTAGAGATAAGTTTTGAGAGAGCATGAGAGGCTTGAAAATCATGTCTTGGTTTTACACGATATTCTTTCTCAGTTTCACCATTTGTAGTCTTGAGGCTAGAAGTAACAAGAAGCTTCATTCTGCTGTTGTTGTTGGCAGTGTCTACTGTGACACGTGTTTCCAGGAGGATTTCTCTAAGTCTAGTCACTTCATTTCAGGTTCAATTCTACAAATTTTGTTCTAGCTTTTTTAATGGTTGTTGGGGTTTTTGTTTTGCTCTTCTGGGATGAAAATTTTATGGGATTTTTTGTGCAGGTGCATCTGTCGCTGTAGAATGCAAAGATGAGACTTCAAAACCGAGTTTTCGACAAGAAGTGAAGACAGATGAGCATGGAGAATTCAAGGTTCATCTACCATTCTCAGTTAGCAAACATGTCCGGAGAATCAAGAGCTGTTCAGTGAAACTGATCAGCAGTAGTGAGCCGTATTGTGCTGTGGCCTCATCAGCAACTTCGTCTTCACTCCGGCTCAAGTCAAGAGACGAAGGAACTCACATATTCTCAGCAGGATTTTTCTCCTTCAAGCCACTAAAACAGCCAAATCTATGCTACCAGAAACCAAGCCTGGAAAATTCAGAAAAATTTAACGGCAAAAAAGCCTCTTTTCCTCCAACTGATGAAAATACACCATTTCCACCTCCAATTCAAGACCCAACAATGCCTGGTCTTCCTCCGTTAGACCCATTCCATCTTCCTCCACTTCCTTTACTACCAAGTCTACCGCCATTGC